TTCTTCCTGTCAGCTTTCTTCACTGTCCAAGTCTCACATCCATACATGATAATAGGGAATATAATGGCTTGGATGGTTCACATTTTAGTGCTCAGTTGTATATCTCTACATTTTAGGATGTTGTCTAGTTTTTGTATTGTGAGCTACAATACAAAGAACATGAAGACCTAGGAGCAAACTGTCAAGTTAATTTGGTTTAGGCACTGAATAAATAAGAGTACAGAAAAATTGTTCAGAAAAAGTTGTTTAGCCCACTGTTTATGTGAGATGCAATTTTATTTAACACTACATTTTGAAACAGCTAAGCACCATACACAATTCAGCTCAACTAACTTTAATTCTTTTAGTTGAACTCATGGAATAATTAAGTAGGTGCTAAACTCCTTGTCACTGATTCAAATTAATCAAAAGTGTTATATTGCGTATGAGCTGTGTCCACCACAGTTAAAATTGCTTTCTATGAAAATTACAATAGTCAAGATGTCTTGCATTCAGAACATTATACACTCTTCCCTACTTTGCATTAACTTAAGAAGATATGCAGTGAATTTGCAGTTACTTCTTGAGTTTTATCTTCAGCTAATCAAATCAAGAGAGTTTAGTGTATTTTCCCATGTATTAACCTCTTCCCTATTTTTGTCTTTTACCACATCTCTAAGTCATTCTGTTTAGCTCCTGCTAACACCAGTAATTTGTACCATATGCTTACCGACCATTGCATAATATGAACTTATTTGTGTGACCTGTTTATTTTTAGGTGCAAGCTGTGTGGTAAGACAGCATGTCCAGTTACTGACAACCTAAATGGAAAGCAGTCATACACACTTTGGAGAGAAGAAGGGCATGCCTGTAATAAAAAGGACCTTGCATATTTAAAAAGAGGTTTTATTTTAAGCTTTAGCAGGGTGCTTTAAGGGGGAAATTATGGAGGTTCCCAGTACCTAGTTTGACATAACCACTGCTAGCAAACAAACAAAAAAGTTACAACATCGTTCAGGCAGGATCAAGATTATACGTACTATGTGGCACCAAGAACCGCAGCATAACAGGGTGAACTTGGGACAGAGAGGAAACATGATCAGAGTGCTGACAACTTTATAACAATTTTAACATTCTTCTGATGCGTGTAATAACACAGAACTGGGTTATGCAGCACATTCTCAATTAAAACCACTTTTATGAATCATTAACACTTTTTTCCTGCCCTATTTATTGTCTAAGCCAGTGCCAGTTAACTGTATATGAAGCTTTAGCTGGTGAGAGAACAATAAAATTGCTGGGAGATTTAGAATTGTTACTTTATTCAATTTGTTTTGTTGATTTTTTTCCCCAGTATTTAAAAGAAAATCAGTAAAACCACAATCTTTGGCTGACTTGAAAACTGGGAAGCAGTCGTGGTGTGTGTTTTTAATAAGTTCAGCTACAGAAACAACGCTTCCTCAACATGATGTTTTCTAACTCTTGAGTGCAACTTACATGCTCTCCAGATATCATCTATTCTGGATCAGGACGATGAGAACTGTAGTCTAACATCTGGAATGTGTCCAGTTGGTAAAGGTGGTATTAGAAACTACACTAAACAAGCACGTGTGTGGTGGATTTTGCTCTAATTTATATTTGGCTCTTATCAATTTCCGAAAATAATTCTAAATGTCTCATGAGAATGGGTCACTGTTCTATATATTACTTGAAAGGTGTATGTGCATCTGAGATTGTTTATATAATCTATTGATCTGGGATAGGAATGATAACCTTGTATGATGTCTAGCTAATTTAAAAGAGCCAGTGTGGTGTAGTGGTTTGAGTGTTGGACTACGACTCTGGAGATGAGGGTTCGATTCCCTGCTCAGCCATGGAAACCCACTGAGAAACCTTGGGTGAGTCACACACTCTCAGCCCTCCAAATCCCTGTGAAAAGGTCACCTTAGGGCAGGCCTGCACAACTTGGCCGTGGGTAGGGGCCAAAATTAAAATAGGCTAAACTTCTTAGGGCCACAGATAGGGTTTAATTAAATATTTATTTATTAATAATAATCATATTAATTAGAATTAATTAATATTAATTCCTTCCTCTTCCTCCTGCTCCTCCTCTTCCTCTGCCCAGCCCTCTCCTTGGGAGAAAGCCAAGCGGCAGAGGAGCCTTGTCTGTCCTTTTCCTCGAGAGAAGGCCAGGTAATGGAGGAGCCTTGAGGGGCGAATGTTTGCCCCTCTTCCTCCTCCACTGCCTGGCCTTCTCAGAAGAAAGCCAGGTGGAGGAGGAGCTTTATAGGGCGAGTATTTGCCTGTCCTCCTCCTCCACCCATCTTTCTCCTTGGGAGAAAGCCAAGCAGCAGAAAAGCCTTGCAGGGCAGTGTTCACCCATCTTCATCCCATGCCACTGCCCAGCCTTCTCCTCAAGAGAAAGCAGGGCGGCGGTGAAGACTTGCAGGCAAGCATTTGCCTATCCTCCTCCTCCACCCATCTTCCTCCTCTACCGTCCAGCCTTCTCAGAAGAAAGTGGGGTGGGCTTGTAGGGCAAGCATTTGCCTGTCCCCCTGCTCATCTGCCTGGACTTCTCCTCAGGAGAAAGCCAGGCAATGGAAGACCCTTGAAGTTGTTCCACATCCCTGCAGGCCACCTGAAATCCTTTGGCGGGCTGCATGCAGATCCCAGGCCATATGTCATGCAGGCCTGCCTTAGCGACTCTATAATTTGGAAATGACTTGAAGGCACACAACAACAAAGTGTGGTGTAGCGTTAAGAATGTTGGAGTAGGACACGACAAAAGTCCTTCCTGAGCCATGAAACGTACTGGGTCACCTTCGGCCAGTAATTCCTAGCCAATAAATAAATAATGTTAAAAATAAACAAGGAAGAATAAAAAGCTAAGGAGCAAGCCTAAAAGGAATAAAAGAAAACAGAGACAAAACTGCTTTGCTTTTTGAGTTTCTTACTAGGGGAAGAGCTCAACAGTTATGGGGTTGGCAGAGTTCTCTGAACATCCAAGTTATGTGTAAATACCCCAGCGTTATGACACAAGGGAGTCCAGATGGGGCATTGCAATATAGCCACAGCTTGCTGAGTCAGACTAGCAATCCTGAGTCAACAGCTGCTTCTTATTCAGTAAACAAGCCTTTAACTGATTAATGATGGTTTCCAGGCAAGATCATTCTTGCATAGTTGGGGCCCAGGGAGGAGCAATAAACTATGCTCCCTCTGAGATACTCTCTAGCTTTGTGTTGTAATTCAGATAATACTACCTATAATGGAATTTCACTATCATCACTGTTTTATACAGTGAGCAAAATACAAAGTACATCTATACTTCTAGTTATAAAGTAAAAGTAAAGTATGTGCCTTCAAGTCCCCTGTTGACAAGTTGACCCCATTAATTTTATAGTGTTTTATTTTTAAAGCGAGGAATATTCAGAGGTTTGCCATTGCCTTCCTCTGAATACAGCCCACTGCACCTAGTATTCCCTGGCAGTCTCCCTTTCAAGTACTAATCAGGTCTGACCCTGCTTAGCTTCCAAGATCAGATGGGTTCTGGTATCTTCAGAGTATTTAGGCTATAACTGCAAACTGTTTTTATTATGTTTGCATAATCTAGAATAAGCAAGTTAATAGCTCACAAATGCAAACATTTGTATTTTGTAATTATGGTAAAGGACTAAAATTTAATCTGGTTTAAAATTTAATATAACCTTTTTAATGCTGGCATATCAGGATATTATTGCCACAGCACAGGATAAGAGTTTAACAGATTAAAAAAAAACAATTAAGTTTTCCAGGTCTAAGATTAAATGCAGGGCTATCTTTTAACTGGACAAGGTCAAACTATTATTGAAGTCAATCACCCATTCTTGGCCAGAGTCATCTATTCCTTTGATCTCAGAGCAACCAGATGACAAATTCCCAAATCTGAACGAGTAATTCTAGCTGATTCTTGTGTTTTCCCTTCCTTTTCCTCCCCTTCCATTTTGAGTGGCATTCAGCATTTTCAGAAAGCTGTTAAAGAAACAAAATTTGTTTCATTTTAGTCAGTATTTGCTTCGAACTCATACCAGCCAGTGGTACTGATTCTTCTGGGTCTCTCTAAGCCAGTATCACCACAATGCTTTATTCAGAGAAAAGACCCTAATCTGGGAGTATAGTCCTCTTTCAGAATGAAGCATTGTGAGTCAGGAACAGATCTGGAGAACACCAAAGCTGCCATTACTTGTGGCACAGATTATTTAAAGTGTATGGAGTTTTTGTTTTTACTTTAAACAGTAAATTGGCTCTGTAGGACAACCATACTACAAAATAATAGCAGGTTGATGGTGCTTTAGCTGTTAAAGCTTCATTTTATGAAAACCTGGCCCTTGTGGTTTTGTTGAGATACTGAGAATTCTCTAGTGCTACTCATGCTAGAGCTCTTGGACAGACAATTCTACGTATCTCACAAAGCTGTAAGTCACAAGGATCCACAACAGGGGTAGGCAACCTTTTTGAGCTGGGGGCCGGGTTGCT